CGTGAACTGTGTGAATACTGCGACAGTAACGTCACTTAGAAATCTTTTATTACTGTTTTAAAATACTTTCATTGATTCATTTTGATTTAATCTTGATTCTTTTAACTCCAGTTTTCCTTTGTAAATAATTAAAATATTGAGACTTTTATAGTAAAGGTTGTATCGCGCGTCCTGGTTTTATATCAGTGAAGGTCTACGATAAAATGAAGAAGCCCCAAAATATATATATATATATATATATATATATATATATATGGCAGAATTATCTAATTGTAAGTTTAAGTTTTTAAAACCGAGTTATCTTTGATATTTATCAAGATACAATTATATACATTTATAACACAATTTAAATTTATAAAATTAAAAAAAAATGTAAGTTGTGTCAATTACACGCACAAGTATACGGAAAATCATACATTTATAGTATAATTTATTATTTGTCATTGGAATATTACATATATTATATTATAATTACATTTTATTGCTATATTATAATTTTTAAAAAAATTGTCAATAAAAATTATACAACAAATAATAAGGGGGAAAGTGCCAAATTCAGCCGAGGTTAGATGTTGGTTGCCCAATAATGTTCTTAATTTTTAAATCTTTAAATTTTAGCTATCGTAAACTGCGCGCTAATTACTGTCGATCTTTCTAAGAACGCAATCATAAAGCTGAAATATTAAATTGAAGAATTCGATGATGATACAAGCATCTTAAAGTTTTTTTTAAAGTATTTTTATTTATCGATGCGCAGTTTATGATAGCTGAAATTTAAAGATTTAAAAATTAAGAATATTATTGGACTAACATATAGTCTCAGCCAAATTTGACTCTTTCCCTCTTATTATTTTTGTATACATGTATCAGCCTTGTTTGAAATCAATGTTAACAAAAATTATGTTTTCAGAATCAGCAAATAGTACTAATTTAGTAAATAAACTTAGATATCTGCAATCAATATAAATTGTATTAATACAATAAGAAATTTATTTTTATATAAACTTGTGGCAATAGTATAAATCATTTTTCAGCGTTTTTATTAGACTATTTTTCAAATAGTTTTAACATGTGCAATACGATTTAATTAATGTTGCTATGTGATGGAAAGTTTTAATATGGCGATAATTATTTCTTAGTATTGTATGCGTGTGTATGCGTACGTGCGTGCGGTCGCATACACATCGTAGATTCTAAAAATTGATATGGATTGTTATAATATATTTATGATTAATTTTCATGAATGTATTTCGAAACTACTTACTATTGTGTAACTACATAATAATAAAAATATAATTTTATTATCTAACTCAATATTTATTTTTTCATTCATGTAAAAGACAGTTTAAGTATAAAATATGAACTATGTACATAAAGATGAGTCGAAAAATGAACATAAAATTTTTGATTTTATACATTAGTTAATTATATAATTTACACTAATATTACACCATGATACTTAAGATTCAAATTCTTTCTTAACAGAATGTTGCCCAGGTATCGTTGTACCTGATATTTTATTTTTAGGAATCTTTCCAGGTCTTAAATATGGATTATCTATAACATCTTGCTGAGTAGTAATTTCACCATTTTGTTCCATATTTTCGTTCTGTGTTTGATTACCTGTAAGCAAAGATTTATGCCAAGTTATTAATTGAATTGTATGTATTATTTAAATATTTCTTTATGGCGCAACTCAAAAGGCTCACCTTCCTCTGTTTCTTCACTTTGTTGTTCTTTCTTCTTTTTTATTGGATTCGAGTCGAACTGAAAATCTGGATCTGGTTCAAATATTTGGTCTTGAGGTAGAAGAGCAGAGATATAACTCGGAAATTGTGGTTTGCAAGATATTACTAAATGCAAAACAGATATATGTAAGATTTTTAGTTGTAATGCTTCATTAAAATGCTGAATGAATTAATACAGGTGATAATTCACTTACATGGAAACATGCTGTTATCTTCTGTGAGAAATAAGCTATGTGTCTCTCCTGTTTTAGCAATAAACCTTGTTAAAGCTCTCTCGATGTCTCGTTTTTGCATTGCTACCTTTTCTCTGATTGCTTCGTATTCTGTTACTGGTTGCTTATGTGTCTACAATATTTCCATTATTGAATTAGATTTATGTACAATATTTTTTTATCATAATGTGTAAAAATAAAGCGTACATATTAGAACACTTTAGTTTTACACATTGTGATAAATGTATGCATGCGTGCATTCATATATATATGTATATAATATACAATTGTAATTAATAAATATTCACCGGAGTTCTGATATACGCATGTGGATCAGGAAAAGCCGGCAAATAATTTGGTATATGCGATGGATGACCTTGCTTAACACCAGCTTGCAAAATATTCAATTGCTTTGCTTGTGTTTGCTGCTGAAGCGTCGGCAGAATTGTCTTGTTTTGTCGCTTTGCGTAAGTCTCTATATTATCTAATTTCATGCCCATATTAATCAGTGCCAATATTACATCTGCTATGAGAGGCTCTGTTCTCCCAGAAAGTTCACAATAATTTCTCCCTGAAGCTCCAATTTCCACAATAACTGAAATCATTCATAAAAAGAACAATAAACATCTTATTAGATAAAGTTTATTTTTAAAAGTTTTAATTGAAAATAGATACAAACATAGAAAAAAATTATAATTTAAATTTTAATATAAAATTTTCACTCTTCAAGCAGATTAATAGATAGAACATGTTCTGCGTCGCATGGGTCACATCATCTATTGAATTTGCAGCGCCAGGTATAAAAAAGCTGTACAACAACCATATAGTAATACTTTGTTAAGATTTACAAAAAATAAGAGTCTAGGACTGTTCTTTATAAAAATAATTTTTATAGCTTTTAATAAAGTACATTATAAAATACATTTTACTTAACATTCTTAACAAATATATTAAACACAATCAAAATTATGGACAAATCACCTAAAATTAGCGCAGCATTGGCAGAGCATGTTAATAAAGTAGTGATATAAAATTATAAAATAAAGGAAAATTGACACACACAAATTATTAATATAAAATAAATTAAAAATTATAATTAGTTAAAAAATGTATACATATGCCATAAAATTTTTATATTAGTAAAAGCATCAAGATATAATATATTCCAATGAGTTCTTTAAAACATTGCGTGTATAATGTTTAAAAAGATATCTCTGCAACATTTATTTACTCGTTTTACGGTTTTCTAAATATTCTTTATAAAATTTTGGCCTTCTAGATAATTTTCTAAACACATCTTATAAGACCATTTTTTTATAATATTCAATTTAAATTTATCAAATTAAAAGATCAAGAATTATGAGTTAAGATGTTACAATTTATTTGTATATATATGCAATAATATATATGACATGGATAGAGGAACAATATTTAAAAAAACAGAATTTATGATTTTAGGTTAGTTGCTTAAAAATTCAAATTTAAGCCTTACATGACTGTAACATTTCGGTAAGTGTTTCCAATACTTGTTTGTCGCACATCTCATAACCACATTCCACTAGAATGCTGGAAACTACATGATTTAATATCTTTCTTCGAGTATTTACTATTTGTGAATCCATAACTCTTCTTCTTTGATTACGGATTTCTACGAATCTCCGATCATCCAACCCAAGTCGTCTGCAACAACTTCAACAAGATGAGGTTAAGGCAGTGAGATTATGTATACATACTGGGCTGCGTTCAGAAACTTCGTCTAGGTGTATCATTTTATCCTTGTTTAACATTCGGTGAATAACAAAGATAACATGATATACCGTGTATTCCTGAACGCAGCCCTGGAGTGAGCCTTCTTGAAGAATGGCCCATAGAACTTACAGTATGTATGTACACCCACGGTCA